TATTGAAATTTTAAAATATTTAAAGCGTTTTATTGGCGATCTGAAAATATGACGGCTGCTTTTCACCGCGCAATGAATTTTAATGGAATATGTCTTAGGAAACTAAATTTTCATCGCGTAGACAGTCAGCAAAGTGGCGATCATGGTTTGGATATATCATCCCGCTCGTATCTATATTTTATTTTGTTCACTTAAATTATAATACAGACAGTAAAATTCTCTAAATAAATAAATACTTTAAAAGGTGGAATTTTAATTGACTGGAATTAATCTTTAAACTAATACTGGTGTAGAACAAAAATAAATACGAAATACGAATAGTAACATGTTTTTTAAAGTTAACATTTTTGACGCGAGATACAAAATATATTATCTTGTAATATGTTGAATATTTTAAATGTATTGTGCCAAGTGTATCGTGCGCGTCTCGTGGCGCGCTGTTTTCGTTTCCTTGACTTACGTCACGGCGAACGTCCGCTGTTGTGTTTACACATGCCTACCACCCTGCTATCAATCGTACAGAAATATTCAAGTGAGCAAGACGCGACGGAAATCGCTCCGTATATTGTCAGAAATCTTTACGTAAGTAGTTTCACATGAGCCAAAATCGATAGGCATTAATATTTTACTTTACGAATAATTACTGATTTGCTATATTAATCATTTCTTACGATTAACACCCGGGAATTTACATAGAAAGCGCATATGAAAATTTAGGTGTACAATAGAATAACCGCGGCGGCTAACGAGTAAAGTTAGTACGCAACTTTTGATTTTTCTCTGTAATGTTTGTTTACTTTTTACTCCGCGAGTAAATATTTTTAAATTGTAAAGTCTTAATAATTATAGCTCAGTTAATCCTAATTAATTGTTTCGCTATTAAGTGCAATAAATAATCATGAATGGATCACTGAAAAAAGAAGCAGGCCTAGGATTCATCAAGCATTGACAAATCAATTTGAAGATAATCGATTTATAAATATTTAATTTCTCATGTATAATATTTTACACGTAAATTTATAAATTAATGTTTTGAATAATGAACCAATGATTAATTATTTAAGTAAAATTGCGTTGCTGATGTCTGATGTATCTTCGGCCTCTCAATAGTTTATCTACGGCTGCTCCTTTACTTTCAAAAATACAATTAGATAATTACGATCACGCGAGCAATAAATAATCAAGATATGACAATCGTGATTTTATCAATATTATAATAAAAGGAAAGTACAATTGTACAAAGCTGCAATTCGTTCAACTCACGTGGCATAAAAAACAGATAATAATAGTGAAAGAAAATCGAAAATTGCACAACTAATTTTGCAGGTCACTTGTCGCGGCTATTGTTATATATTTGAACTTTCGTACGCTTTCTGTGTTTTTCATACATGTCAAATAGTATACATTTGGATCGGCAATTTAATAAATATATTATTGCAAGATAATACACTCCATTATATATACCTATTCCGTTTTTCATGTTTTATATTTTTGTATTGAAATGAATCACTATTGTATGAGTATAACTTTTTTATTTTGATTAACGTAAAGATTAATTTCACTGTATTGAAATTTTAAAATATTTAAAGCGTTTTATTGGGAATTTGAAAATATGACAGCTGCTTTTCCACTATTCGCGCAATGAATTTTAATGGAATATGTCTTAGGAAACCAAATGTTCGTCGCGTAGACAGTCAGCAAAGTGGCGATCATGGTTTGGATATATCATCCCGTTCGTATCTATATTTCATTTTGTTCACTTAAATTATAATACAGACAGTAAAATTCTCTAAATAAATAAATACTTTAAAAGGTGGAATTTTAATTGACTGGAATTAATTTTTAAACTAATACTTGCGTACAACAAAAATGAATACGAGATACGAATAGTAACATGTTTTTTAAAGTTAACATTTTAGACGCGAGATACAAAATATATTATCTTGTAATATGTTGAATATTTCAAATGTATCATGGCAAATGTTATCGTGCGCGTCTCGTGACGCGTTGTTTTCGTTTTCTTTCGTTACGGCGAACGTTCGTTGTGTTTACATGCTACCACCTTGCTATCATCGTACGTTGCTCAATCGTACAGAAATATTCAAGTGAGCAAGACGCGAAATCGCTCTGTATATTGTCAGAAATCTTTACGTAATTAGTTTTACATGAACCAAAATTGATAGGCATTAATATTTTACTTTACACGTAATTACTGATTTGCTATATTAATAATTTCTTACGATTACGCGTATTTATACCGCATAAAACATAGAAAGCGCACATGAAAATTTAGGTGTACAATAGAATAACCGCGGCGGCTAACGAGTAAAGTTAGTACGCAACTTTTGATTTTTCTCCGTAATGTTTGTCTACTTTTTACTCCGCGAGTAAATATTTTTAAATTGTAAAGTCTTAATAATTATAGCTCAGTTAATCCTAATTAATTGTTTCGCTATTAAGTGCGATAAAGAATCATCAATGAATCACTGAAAAAAGGAGGCCTTGGAGGCATCGAGCATTGGCAAATCTATTTGAAGATAATCGATTTATAAATATTGTAAGAGGTCGTGAGGATATAAAATTTAATAATATCTAGTATAATCTGCTGATTTATCTGATTTTAAATGAAAGATATTTCAAATATTATTCAATTTTTTAATATTAAATATTAAAAGTTTATTTTTTTCAGTCTTTTATACTTAAATTTAATTATCTATAAATTATTAATAAGAGAAATATTGAATAGATGACAAATATCTCTTTTAAACATTTTATAAATCAATTTTATCAAATATCCAGTGGAATAACGATAATATTAATAATGTGATATTGACTTCTTTTAAAGAAAAAACACAAAACTGTTTATTTTCTGTTTTTAACGCGTACTATTTTTGCTTAATTGTTTTCACTCTATTTAAATTGCTCGAATTTTCTTCACTCGGTCTGAATTGTTTGAATTTTCAAACATTTCAAGTTGACATTGCAAATTGATCACTGCTTTAATCTGATGGAATTGTTCGAGATGTTTGAACTTAACTCTTTTTTTGTTTACTTTAGTTCTAAAATAAAAATAACGTGTTATTTAGTATAATTTATTTCTTAATTATACATAGAATTGTGCACTACATAAATTGAAAGTTTTTCGTAGATTTTTTTCATCATGCATTTTCCGTTGGTAAGCATAGAATTAATTGTTATAGATTTAATAATGCAAAACGATAAAAATCGTTGAAAACATATAACTATTGTTATATGTATATATTATTATATAATTATTATATATTATTATATTATTATATAACAATTATACTTCGTTTTTTTCCCATTATTTTTGCTTTTCACAAGACAATGATGCGCAATATACTGAAATTTGCACGTGTGGTTTACAGCAAATGTCGTTCATGACGTAAATTGCAGTTGCAGTTTCGTTGACAGTCCGGAAATTTCGGTGGCGTACTCGGGTGTGCATGCACACCCACATAGTGCTACGTACACGCGAAAGTGAGACTCGGTCGTACCGTGCGGTTCACTTCTGTTCTAATCTTCTAATTGCGTTTCCCGACGTACGTCAGTGCGGGTTTGGCGTGATATACTTTATCAGTTTGTAATGAATTTCGAGGGGGATAGAAATACAGATATAGTCAGAGAAGATGCGTTGTCGTTTCAGTTCTCAATCTCTTGAAGGGAGACAGGCTTAAACGGATTTATCAGCGGGAACGGATGTACGTTTATCGGATGACTCGGAAATTGATTTATAGCGAAGTGGTCTGTGCCAAAATTTTTAAGCTTGCAGCAAAATTTTGACGTGCTCGCGCGTTCGCCGACCTGTTTGACAAACGGAATTGTAAACTTGGATATTGATTGGAATATTGTCAGAAACCAGAATAGAGAGCGGGGAACAATAGCGCGTGTGGGGGAGGGACGCAGGAATTTAGAACTGTATTGTGCCGCAACGATACATTGTTATACATTATCGCTAAATAGCACGTGAGCTTTTAATGGTAAAAGTAAAAATCTTTTTTATTAGATGTGATTCGGTGAAACTCTAATTGGTGTTTTAACGGGCCCGTGCTTTTACTGCTCAGAGAAACGCACCGCTGAGCAAGCGCCTGTGCCAATCAACGATACTATGTTTCTTGCCGATTTCTGATATTCCACGCTAATGTTTGCGCTGTTATCACTGACGACGTGTTATTTGATTTTCATTCAACAGAGTAGAGCACTGAAAGTTTTATTCCGCGCTAATTAAAAGCCTTGATTTCAAATGGAAATCTCTGTTAACGAAATTCAAATAATTCTCGAATCACATCTCATTATAAAAGTTGAATATTACTCAAATTTATTACGACCCAGAAATGTGGCATACCACTAGGCAAACTTGTTCTTCCTATATGTAAATTATGCAGTTTTTACTTATACTTTGCAGATACGTTGGTCGAGTACCAAAAATGATTTCGCGATTTTTTTTCATCAAGAAGTTTTATCAATCAATAATGCAAATTTGAAAAACTTATTAATTCTACAGTGTGTTTTAAAAATAGGAATAAAATCTTATTATACTTTAAATGTGATCGGATAAATTTGATCTCAAAATGGAATAAGTTTTAATGCAATATGGAAATAAAATTCTTTAACATGCAATACAATATTAAGTAGCACAAAATCAATTTTGCAACGAAAAAGATTTTAGACTTTTGTTTCATCCACCAAACAATTTTCAAAAAATTTACTTTTAATATATACAGAATCTTTTTCACATATCGATTTTTTTTCAGAATGACGATCTTTGGAATGATTCTGAAATCTTTTTCTGCTATACAATATTGATCTTGCTACAACAATCTTTTCAACCTTATAATAGACCAACTGTATAATGATTTAGAATTACACAATTAAAATTAGAAATAAATTACAGTGTAGCTTAATAATAATATTATTATTTCTCATAAACCTGTTTTGAACGCTGTTATAATGTATGTATATGTATTTATATTTTACAGATAAACCTTCGCGCTTCAAATCGTGTCGTATTTGTTCCGCCGTAATTTCGTAATATAATAAAACGTGCGTCGGGAGTGGCGTGATAGTTTCGCGCGAGTACGAAACGCCGTATTTTAACGAATCTATAGATGAACGCATTTTTGCTATATGACAAATATTGGGACACGATTTTTTTTTTACTTAGGCTTGGCTCGGGGGAGGGAAAGGTCGGTTTTAATCATAAAATCTCGACTACGGCAGGGCAATCTTCGGTTCTACGTGCAGCGCGCTAGTTGTACAGATAGCCGGACTGTCGAAGGTAGTCGAGGACGGTTACCGGAG